GTGCACGTGAGGGTTTGCTTTTTGTCTTAGAATCGGCCCTACAGCAAACCACCCATGCAATTTCAGCTTGCTATGCGGTGGCTGCGAAACAGGGATTTGCTGTATTTGCATTGTAGCAGCGGGGTTAAGAAGAAGTGTTAGATCACGCTAGGGAGTGTTCGGAAGGTTTCATGAAAACCGGTGTAAATCCACTGTTCAGTGAAAGGAGTGTCAGTGGGGGAAGCCGTGTCGTCTGCCAGTTGGAGGGAGGATAATTTGAGCAGGATTCACATGTTCTTTTCATGAGTCTGCCACTGATCTATGTACGGTAAATTAAGTGCTCGTTCGGTACACGTCGCTCTTTCACCATTTACAAAAAGTGAAAATGATACTCCCTGCACATTTTGTAAAGTGTCAAGTTTTATTCAGATAATTATAAGTGAAAAAACCCTCTGACCTTTGCAAGAGTCGCAGACCACTGAGTCTCTTGTCTGATCTGAGTGTTGCACAAACTCATTTTGGTGTTGGAATAATGAATCTGAATGGAGGCGAGTGACCTAAAAGACAAAGAGCACATCTCTATTCCCTGCTGTGCCCCACGTCTCACAGGGTGCCTCAAAAATGGACAGGGGCTCCTTTACATCTCTTTAGTCCTGGCCTTTCTCAAAACTCGCTTTATTCCTTCCAGAGGAGATGTAATGGAGAATTACCAAAGCCTCGTACAGCGCATCCCTGCTCTGTCGTGCCACCAGCAGTGCCAACCTCCTGGCCTGCCTTGGTAGGACTCCTCATGAGCAAGATTGATGGACGAGGAACTACTCAACTTATTTTCTGCCTTCTGATACCATGGAAAGTCACGCACAGTCATCTGGTTTTGGCAACAGCCCGTCACAGTCTGCTGGCCACCACTACGAGCTGGATGCTCTGTAGGTATCTGATAGATGCTGTTTGTAAAATATACTGTAGATCATCTGCTTGGGTATGGAGCTGGGCACAAAATGTTTTGAAGGCTTGAACCTTTGCAAAGAAAGTGCTAAGCACTTCAGCACTCTAGAGTTACTGCAAATATTTAGCTTCTTGACAACCCACAAAGCTACTTGGAAATCTTTTGTGCATGCAGTAAGCTGAGGTTCAGACACTTAATATTAGCGACTCAGAAAGACTATTGTATTCAAATAAATTCAGCGGTGAACCACTGAATGTTTACTGCCAACTAGAATTTCTCCAGATGATTTTCAGTGACAGATTCATGATGTGCATATGCATGGTATAGAAGCAGCTGTTCAAAGTGAATGGAGAGCCCCATCAAAAACCGCGTGTTATCTTCTACAGAAAGGAATTTAGCCTCCAGTGATATTTAAGTGTATTGTTGGAGGATATTCTCAATGTAATATTTGTTAAGTAGAACATAAGACTTCTGGCACTTTCTTCTTTTGATTTGCAGAATCCAAGTCTATCCGATCCTACCCACTCAAATTGTGAATGCTAAATAGCTCACACCAGCATAAAGCTGGTTCTTGTGTTTATATTGTCTGTAATTTCTCTTTGCAGCTCCGTAATATGATTGATCAGTGTTAGATCTTGACTGTAGGAGATGAAAGCTACAGTTCTTTTGAATTGCGAGCAGATCAGATGAAAAGCTAGATACTGAAAAGGTAGTCCCACAAATGTGGCTATGATTTATGCAGAGAAGAACATCAGCCGAAGAATTTTAAGGAACTATTTCTAAATGTGCAAATGAAGGTGTTCATGCAAAAATATTCCTTACCAGGACTATAGACACTATCAGCAATTACACTGTTAAAATATGTTATCTGTCTACTTTTATCCTAATAAGTCAGCACGTGGCCTTTCTGGGGTACGCAAACCACAGTTTGTCATTTCTTTTTTTAATTGTTTTTAAAGGACTGTAATTTTATTCCCATAAAGCAGAATCTATTGATTATTAGATCACTTTTTCACTTCCTTTGCATTTGTAATAATTTTAAATAAAGTTAAAAATCTACAAGAATAACTTCCAACGACAGGCTGTAGTTCTGAATTTACATCTACTATTGTATCTAAACAAAAGCATCTCTCTCATAGTCAAGTGAATCTCCTCCTGAAGAGCAGAAAGACGAAAGATTTGAAATTGCAGTATCATTGTTTTGCCCTCTTTAAGAGCCCACGCTTAGCAGGCAATATTTTAGCTCTATATCCACACAGTTTATAACACTTTTCCTAAAGAGAATGCTGCCTATGTCATTGTCCATGACCTTTACTATCATAAATAAACCAGGGGTTTTGTTCGGAGTTTTTTTTAAGAAAATAAACTTACCTCTTAAAATAGCCTTATTTATTGATGTATTCAGCTTCTGGGTTGTTTATTGCTGGGGCAGCAGTCAGTAAACCAGGAGTAGATACAAATTGCAAGGGTTGTCTTCCTCTCTAAGCTCTGCCGGCCCTCACTCCCGAGTCTTAAATGCCGAGAAAGGGCAGAGTCCACCCAAAATGAATGCACGGTTTTGGACTTCACTGATCCATGAGCAAATTAAACTTTGTTTCTTTTCTATTAGTAGATGTTTATGTTTTCCCCTGGTTAAGACCAGACTGAACTTGTTTTCCAGGTAAAATAATTACAACAGACAGTTGCAAACGGCTCTGTAACTTTTTTTAATGAAATTATTGTTATTTTGCAGGCCAGCACTTTGCGGTGAAGGATAGTCATCTCCTTCCTTGTGGGTGCACTGAATTGCCAAGGGATTGCGGGCTGTCTTTCCTCAGGCTCCGTGGATGCACAAAATGACCCTTCTTTGCCCACAAAGGAACTTTTTCAATCTGTTGAAAGCTTCCACTGCAGCAGGTAGTTATTTTGGAGCTGCCACACCTAACGAATGCCATAACAAATATTTATTTGCACAGTGTTGTGTGTGAGAACAAAGTAATGCATTTCCTCTCTTAAAACCTGGCCTTCTGCATCTTCACAGTGTGGCAGGACCGTTTCTTTAATTCTCTCCCTGTCAAGCAGGTCTCCTCTTCGTTTGCTGGAGGTGGAAAGCCAGAGGTCCCTTTGGGAAGGCAAAGAGCCATTAGACTGTATCTGGGAAAGGACCTGAGTTTTAGGCACATCGGGTGCCCCGTCAGTCTGTGGTTGACTAACACAAGCGTCAAAGTCTTTTTCTTGGCCGAGGACTGATGCTCTTCTGTCACCTTCTCTCATGACACAACCTGTACAGTACCTGCCACGGGTATCGTGAAGTTATAAGGCTGTTGTGCTACACGTAACAGGCTGTGAAACCACACCTAACTTCCCTATGTTTCCTCTCGCATCTGCAGTATTACTTCTTTAAGGTAGCTTCTGTGCAGAATACTGTTTGTAATAAATACGAAGAGTTTTATCTATAATACTGTCATGCCTGCTTGACATCCCAGGAAGGTTAGGCCCCAAAAGTTTAGATTATGGGTTGCAAAGGTTGATCTAACTTTGATTGTTTCCATTTTTGATACCAAAAGCCTGATTTTTAAGAACTGTTGAATCATCTCAGCATCATCTCAGATTTTGTTTTGATTTCAGAGACATAGAAAAATCAGATTTAGAAAAATTGGACACTCAAAATTAGAGAGCTTTGGGGGTTTTTTAAGTGCCCTTGCATAAATAGTTCACTTTAAGTTAATTTCTGATAAGGGAATAGGACTCAAATCTTTCAACTTATTTCATCATAAGCTAATCAGCACCTAATAGTGACTTGTTTTGAGAAAATCTTAACCTTTCTTTTTTTTATGAAGTCTTTGAAAGCCAAATTCAGCTCAACTTTCTATTTCAGACTGTTAAAGGAAGTGAATAATTTGTAAAACTCTGCTGAGAAGAAGATTAGAAATAATACCAAAAAGGGTTAGAGGTCTTTTGTGTAAAACGGTAACACAGCTTCTCCTTCTGAATGGTTTGAGCTCCTTTGCTACAAAATATATCTGAAATAAAATGAGATCCAGAGAGGTGGAACAAAATGTTATGGAGTCAAAAGGCAATTTCCATATGAGCAAATTAGAGGTAGTAAGAGGTCTCAGTTTCTAGAGAAGGAGAAGCTAAAGAAAAAATATGCAATTGGTATATGCAGTTAATTAGCGATGTACTTGAATTTACCAAGTTTTGTGTTCATCTGACTAGCTCAACTTTAAAATCAGATTAATGTTGTTAATGTTAATTTTAAAACCTTTTCTATTGGATATTTAAAGATCCATCTAGCACAGCATTAGAATTAGATCGTATCCACTAAATTAGGTGGCAAGCCACGAACGTTTATTGGCACGAGTTTGTTCTCCAGCACTATATTGAATTTGTCTTTCAGTGTCTTCTCAACCTCTTCATCTGTAAGAGTTGTGATCTGCACCAGGTCCATGTCCTCCATGTAGTTATACTTCATCTCAGTGAAGGTCCATCCAACTAAGGCATATAGCCCTTCAGTGGTCTGGAGACTGCAGATTGACTTTTTCTGAAGTATGTTATCTGGAGACACTTGTAGGTATGCGTTTAGCTCCTGAAAGTCATTTATATGCCGTGGCTCCAGAGTGAATGTATATATTTTTCTAATATTCCCCAGTTCTGGAGTATCAGTGAAAGGGACACTTTGCTCGGGAATGTAATGCTTCCTTTTGACTTTCTCAAAGTACCAGGTGCCGTTGTCTTCCATGAAGCGGAAGATGCCGGGGATCTGGGGTTGATCCTTCCCGGAAATCAACATCAATGGCTGCCACGCCTGGTAGGCACCGCCAAAACCAGCATCTACTATGTAGGAATTTCCCTTGATCACCACCTTCAGTAGGATGTGATTGATCTCAGCAGTGTATGCCGCCTTTGCTGGTTCATAACTATTCCCTCCAAGAATACAGATGTCATATCCTAATTCTTGCAAGGCCCAAAATAAAAGGTGGTTGCTTTCCAGGCACCATCCACCACGGTTTTTTCTCACAATCTTATTGTAAGTAGACTGTAAATCCAGTTCAATGGTCTCCCCACAATGCATGCTGAGGTTTTCAAAAGGAATTGCCTGGATATGATGCTGGAAGATGACTGTTAAGGTTTGCAAGTCTGCATCCTTATGGGACTCGTTGTAAGAAATTCTTGCGAAATACTCTTCAATGTTCATTTTGCCTGTGTGAGCAGAAAAATAGCCAGTTACTATTCTGCGACTGTCAAGGGGTTCACTCCTATTTCTGTAGCACAGGTTTAACCAGCCTGCGAATGTAGCGTCGGCTGTTTCATTGAGCATTTGAAAGAAACCTGTGCCCTTGATAGGACTTGACAGGCTAGACTTGCCTGTATCTTCTGTATTTCCTAAAAAAGAGATGAGGATAGGAGCAGGTGACAATAGTGCTTTTTCTCTCTGAGATGTTACCTTCAACCCAGGTGGATGTCTTTCCTATGGGAAGACACGGCACGTGGCACAACATAATCTCTGGCCCTGGATGAGGGTCCCACGTGACAAAAAAATTCTAAAACTGACAAACAATAGGTTTGCAGAAAAACGGCTAGACCATACCGACGTAAAAGTCACAACGATTTCTTACTGTTTCTTTTACGATAACAGGTAAGCAATTCTTTGCTTATCCCACAGGTAATTTAACCGCAAGGTTTTACATTCATGGCTTCAGCTACCTGGGATTACCATCTCAGTGTGTCACCATTTTAGACAGGCTTCCACATGAAGTAGATTGTTGTTTTCTTAATCTCTTTAGTTCCCCTGTGGAGTTCAGACAGAGATTTGACCCTGGCTGTTGAAAGGAAGGAATACATTCACGGCATATTCATCGGCTTTCAGTTTATTTTACCAACTTGTACAAACCAAAGGCCTTAGTTTCAGCTCAAGTTATTGGATATATTTTGTGTCTTCATGTCTCTGATCCCCTTCCCTTTCATTAGCAGAAAGAGACTGTCATTGGTACTGTTTGCATGGCCAAGATGCAAAAGGTTCCCGACAACACTTCTAATCCACCGCATCATCTGGTATCTGCAAGGATTTATTTCACCTTTAATTTAGATTTAATTTGGCTTTTTTCCATGCAAGGATATTTGTTTTCAAGAACAATTCACAATCTGCTAAGGACTGTATTAATTTCCAAAAGGTCTGAGGATTTCTCGCTCCTTGGAATCGGTCACATGTTCCCTGGGAAGATTTTCCAAAAAATCATTTGATGTAAATGGGACAGGAGAGATTACCTTCCAGCGACTATTCTCAGCTTTGGTCCACCTGCTCCCCTAGGAGTGACCAGCAGTTTGACCTGATGTCCACACCAGCACTCAAGCTGGGAGCTTCTGAAAATCCCACCTCAAACACATAGGTGGAAGTACCCCTGCCCCAGCAGGTAAGCACATTAGATGACCTAATGTCTAGATTTTAACGCCAATTTTGACGCCAGCAGCACAACTCACTTGATTTAGTTGTATTGCTCCTGATCTGCACTGGTACCAGGATTCAGACTGGCTGATGAAAAAATAAAGGAAAATGTAATAAAATAGAGGACTATCTCAATAAGGGGATTAAAAAAAAATCAACATTTTCATTTCAAAAGGACCCAAAAAAGCTACATGGAAAAACAGTAATGTGTCTTTGATACTGCATTTTATGGGGGTTTTCCATCCCTTTTTTAGGACAAGGGCACTCATCTCTGGCAGGATCTCCTTGGAAACGCTGGTTGTAGAAAGCCATTCCCTTCCCAACAGATGGCACACGTGTACGCTGGCAAGCTCACCCTGTGGTCCTCTGCCTCATTTCTCTTTCTGTTCCCACCTTTAGCAATTTCACGTAGCCAGACAGAAACATCTTTTCCCTGTGACGGTGTTGAGCTGAACCTCTCTGACCAGGAGGGGCCCAAACAAGTCCATTAGCCTGGTGGGGCTGATACACTTGAAATTTGCTTTCAAGCAAAAACCAATCAGTCCCTGCTCTGGGCCGGCAGCGGAAGACCTGATGCCGTCCCCATACGCTGTCTCCTGGGTCTGGGTGTCCCCATCCTCCCAGCGACAGTGCAATGTACAGGCAGCTCCCCTCCCAGCCATGAGCAACCTCCCCATCGAGAGCCTCCATGGGGTGCTGGCAGTGAGGCTTCGGGAAAACTTATTTTGGGAAATTCGCTGCCCATGCCTCAGTTTCCCCACTGCCCCTTCTCTGACCTCATCAATTTAAAGGGCTGTGTAGTAGAGACAGCCTCGTGGTGGCTGACAAAATGGGCTCTGATCTCAGTGAATACTATCGAGGTTTCAGTGTAAAAGCTGCAGTACGGAATCACTGGCGGGAGGGAGCATTCACACAAACCAGCGTTTACTCCCTCGCCTTCTCGGAGGCAGCTTTTCTTCTTGGCACAACCGTTCCCACCGCGCTAGTGACAGGGCCGCAGCAGCGAGCCAGCCATCACCCAGGGGACAGTTTGCGTTCCAAAACCAGGTTGCCAAGTATCTTAAGCCTCAGCCCAGCTCTCAGCCTTGTTTATTTTTGCTCCCATAGCGGCCGAGCTTCATTCAGCATTGGTGCGTGTTTGCAGGAGCGGCACGGTGAGCAGCACGATTCAGACGTTAGTTCTGCCTGTTCGCAAGCGTCCCTGGGGATCGCTGTGTCATTTCATAATTAGGCTGAATAGTTCTCTGCTAAAATTCATGAGATGCTTCCAAGGTTGGATCCTCTTGCACATGCCTATACCATTTGTTTGATTTTAAGCTACACCGCGAGTCACGAGCTGGGTTTTTCATACACTCTGGCTCAGCATAAAGGGGTTAGTTTAAGTCTCGAGCGCTTGATCTTTGTACGTGGACAATGACCTTGCAATGCAGCGTATGCTGTCAGCTGTGGGGTTGCTGTAATTTATACTTTGCTAATATGCCTACAGTTCTAAGCACATGGTATGCAGACACACAGAGGTGGGCTTTTCCAAGCAGGCTGACCCAAATCTGCAGGATGAAGTTAAAGATCAGACGCTTGAGTGCTTACCTCTCAGCCAGCGAGCTCAGGATTTCCGCCCTGGTTTGCTCCAAAGTTCCCAGGATGAGTTGTACTGGGAACTGCTGCTCTTAAAGGTCCAGGCTGCCTTTACTGCCTGGCAGGGACAGTGTTATCCTCCCACAGAGCAGGAAAAGCGGGGAGAGGGTTTCTTTTTTTATAATAATTTATATTGTGATGGGTTTATTGGTTTATTTGTGTTGGCATACGCAATTGGTCATGCAATTCATTGTCTTAGTTGCTGTACACATTGTGTTAGGAGCCCGCAAATGATCCAGTCCCCAAATTGCTTACAATATTTGGTAGATTTTAACCTCCTACATTACTGATTGAGAACTGAAGCCCTCCAGGAATGCAAAGGAGAAACACAGTGTGGGTATCGCCAGCAACTTCTGTAAGTGGTTATAACGCGGTCCTCAACCCCGCAGGTCACCCGGGTGCTTCAGTCTCTGGGACACCTTGATGGTTGCACCCATGCTGAAGCAGCAAAGCAACAGTTCCAATTTTGATATGGATTTTAAATTGTTGACAGTCATGTGGCCTGAGAGCTACTAATCCAAGCCAAAGAAGTCACTGATTTATTGGCAGGGGATGGCAGCTGTTGCATTAATCGCACTGCACCGACCTATTCTCCGTGGCTGATACCAGACCTCCAAAGCAGCGAGGTCAGATTTGCAAAGTCACGTAGCTGTCTAAATCCCCTTGCGTTCAAAGAGAAGCCTTGTCCTTCGGCAGCAAGGATGCTGCTCCCGGGGCCTGCTACGCCTTTAAGGATTTGCCTCCAAAGTTAGTGATAAGGAAAAAGCATACTAGTGCAATCTGAGATGAAGAGCCCCTTCCTCCCCCCGCTTCCAAGAGAGAGCTTCATGTGATTGCTCAGCAATAAAATCTGTTTCCGTGGGTGTGCTGAGCAGGAGGCCCAGGAGCGCTGAGCTGTGCCATGAAGCCGGCAGCAGCCAGAGCAGCGGATGGGCTCGCGCTGAAGCAGATGAGTCAGCTGAAAGGAAAGCGGGTTTTTTTCCTATTATTGTTTGCCCCTCACATGCTGAATCTCTGGGGCCATGGACATAACACCCTACTCCTTCCCCTGAGCCTATGAAACAGCCCGAAGCACAAGAAGCACCCAAGCATGGGGAGAGGAAGGGGAGCAGCCCTTTCTAGGTGTTTCGCATGTCTGTTCCCACAAATGATGGAGCTTCTTGGCTCTGCCATGCACCTTCTCCTGCCCCACACCTCTGCGAGACCTGGCTGGGCTTTTACCTCCGTCCCGATGCTCTGCCCCAGCTGCCAGGTTGCTGCAAGGATAAATCCATCCACTTTAGCTCCTTTAGCTCTTCCGCTAACGCAGGGACCAGAGAAGGATACGGCTTGCAAGCAAGCCAGCCCCTGGGACAGTTTCTTCTGAGCATCTGTGTCGCAAACTATATGTGTCCACGCTATATGAAGGCCCTTTTTCTTCTGCGATCCACTGCGGGGCCAGTCATTAACATTTCATTTCCCTATAGCGTGGGGAAGCCTCGTGTGCTATACGGGACCATTGCACACATGTAGCCAAGCACATACAGATGCGTTTAACTCTGGCAAGGCAAGGATTTGGGGAATTCACTGTGTCTCTATGAAACACATCTTGAACATGCAAAACAGCAGCAGCTTTTATTAACTATAAATTGCTTGTTTGTTATTGAAATTGTTATAGAAAGCTGCGCCTACTGCATAACAAATAAAAAAGGGTCAGTGTGTTATTGTATTTTTAAAAGCCTTAGCTGCAAAATGTTAGCACATACAAATAATCAGGACAACTGCAGTGATTAATGAGATTTTTTACTTTGGGGATACACGTTGTAATTTGGGGAAAAAACAGCTGAATAGTTCTACTTCACAATTCTTGATTTTTTTTATTTAAATAATTCACTTATATAATTTTCTTAATTATAAGTGCATAGTTGTAATAATTCCATGATTTGTACATAAAGGAACATCAAGCATCATCTCAAAGGGCGAATTGATTACATTTGAGTAATTTCTCACACTAAAAATCTTAGCCTTTAGGTATCTGATTAAGATTCATCGTTTCTCCTTATATCAATATAATTAGTATCACTGCAAACACATCCTCAGCAGAACAGATATGTTTCAGAAAAATAATTCTGCGCATGTGTTTGAGTTCAGACACGATAATTAATGTGCAGTAACACTCAGAGTAGAGTCTTACGAGCGGAGCGTGTACTCCCAGCATCTGCTGCTGGGCGGGAGCAAACAAAATGCATGGGAGATGCTTTCAGTTCGAAGAAACTCCGTTCTTTGGTTATGGCACTGAGAGAACAGGAGTCATGTAACGTCTGAAATGAGACAGAATTGTCCGTTAATACTTCTCACCATCAGCTTTAGGCCATAAATAGCCCTTCCGTAAGTATTCACGCAGTACGGCACAGGCGCGGGACTGTCCGACTGCCACGTGAGAGGGTGTTGTGAATGCAGGAGGAAAAAGGACAGGCTCATGGCTTAACTGTAGCAAACTTGGCGCTCAACATCTTTGTTTTTTCTGGCTATTAAATTCCAAAATAATATGGTATTCATTTAAGAGGTGGGTATGATTTTCCCCAGCGCAAAGTAATAAAGAAAGAGACACACAGCTCCATTGCTCTGCCCTACTATTCTGGGTGTATTTGGAAAAGCTTTTAAGAGATGAAAGGAGTAGGGAATGGGCAGAGTCTGCTTCCAGCTAAGCACAAACAGAAGGGGAGTGATTTGACTGAGCTAGGAAGAAATTATTTGTACCCAAGCCAAAGAAAGATGCAGGAGCAGTTGTGAAAATCAATTTCTTTTCCAGATTCATGCTAATATGTTCTGCCTTACACTTGTAGATGGAAAGAGAAAGCTTAACCTTTAGATGCTAGGCAGAAATAGGGGGGAGGATTGCACGTAATGCCACTGGATTGAATTATAATTCAAGCAGTGAGTTAAAACAGAGACAACCTGCTAGTATTGATGGGTACAAATTTCTTGTCTAGTGTTATATTGAATTGCTCTTTCAGTGTTTTCTCCATTTCTTCATCTGCAAGGATTCTGATTTCCACCAGATCCATATTATCCTTATAATTGTACTTTATCTCAGTGAGTTTCCACCCCACCAGAGCCCGGATGCCATCGGCGGTCTGCAGGCTGCAGATAGACTTTGTCACAAACAGCGAGTCCGGTGCTGTCTGCAGGTGGGTGTTGCGGGCTCTGAACTCTTCGATGTCTCGTGGCTGAAGGGTAAAGAGATAAACCCGCCGGCAAACTTCTTTTTCCGTGTTACGGGAAGTGGAGATGCTTTGGTTGGGAACCCACTGCTTCCTTTTCACCTTCTCGAGGTACCAGACCCCGCTCTCCTCCAGGAAGCGAAAGACCCCAGGAGTCTGCGGCTGGTCTCTCCCCGAAACCAGCTCCATTGGCTGCCATATCTGGTAGGTCATCCCAAACCCCCCGTCCACGATGTAGGTTTTGTTGTCAAGCACCACTTTTAGGAGCAGATGATCGATTTCATCCGCATACGCGTTGTACTCCGGGACATAAACTTTTGATCCCAGAAGGGTGACATGGTAGCCAAGGGTTTTCAGGACCCAAGATAAAAGGTGGTTGTTTTCCATGCACCAGCCCCCGCGTTTCTTCCTCACTATCTTGTTGTAAGTCGCTTCCAGGTCCAGCTCAATGCTTTCCCCACAGTGGATGCTGAGGTTTTCAAAAGGGACCGCTCGGATGTGGTGCTGGAATATATCTGTCAAGGTAGCCAGGTCCAGCTTATCGTAGGAGCCCTGATAAGAAATTCTGGCAAAATAGTCCTTGATGTCCATACTGCCAAGAAGAAGGAGGGGAAAAAAAATAAATAGATTGTGACAGAAGGATCTTACCCATCCCTTGTAACGGGGCGCTAATCAGTATGGGCAGCCTGCTCAGAAGAGGAGCGGGATTTGACTAATGGCCCTATCAAAGGCAGCTGAGTGTGAGTATTAGCACTGAGGGAAGCCAATGGGACACTGCTGATGAGCACAAATGTTATTTTTAATTGTTTCTTTTACAGCTGTGATGAGAGGCTCCAGCTGTGCTAAGCACATTTCAGCAGAGAGTTCCTGCCCAGCAAAGCTACAAATCTCTGTAGGAAGGAACAAAACCCGTAGCAGCAGTTTCCCTGCTAGAAATTATAGGAACTGAGACTCTCCAGATCCGAACTGCTTTACTCGTGGTTTGACTCAGCGAAGCAGAAACAGAAAACAAACCCTCTCACTCTTGCAGAGCAATCCAGAGCCTCCTCTGCAACCAAACCTGGATTAAATCTGCCCTGCCGCGTTATTTCCTTCATTATTTAGGCAGCCGGGCATGAGTTGGTCTCTCCTGCTCTCCATCCTGGCGGTAGCAGATGTGACCTGGAGCACAGAAGGGGTTTTGTAGGGCAGAAAAGGCTGTGGGAGGTTTTTTGCTGCATCTGCTGTGATCCACCTCCCTGCAGCATGGCTTAGCTCTCCAGCTCTGCTAATCACAGCCCTACGCCAGCAACAGGAGGAAACCAAGGTTTGGGCCAAAACTACAAGTTTTTTGGGGGGTCTCACATTTTCTGACATCATTTTTGGGATGCATTTGCTCTTTCAACTCGTCGTCTCCCCAGTGGTGGGTGACTGCCCGTGGGTAAGGGACCAGGCATCGCCCTCCCTATCCCAAGCGCAGCAGAACGGCTCCGTGGGGGGCTGTGTTTCACGGGCCCGGGGGTGGAAAGCAGCTCGAGCCCTCCCAGCCCTCGATGGGAAGGAAACAAGAGAGATTTTGATGTAGCCAAATACTTTTGTTATTTCTCCCCAGGCACTGCTAAATTTCAGACACCTCCAAGTACAGAGGAATGTTGTTTAGATTATTGACCCGAGAGGTCCCAAAATGTTCAGAGAATCACAGAATGGTGTGGGTTGGAAGGGACCTCAAAGCCCATCTAGTTCCACCCCCCCTGCCATGGGCAGGGACCCCCTCCACTAGCCCAGGCTGACCAAAGCCCCCTCCAACCTGGCCTTGAACACTGCCAGGGATGGGGCAGCCACAGCTTCTCTGGGCAACCTGTGCCAGTGCCTCACCACCCTCACAGGGAAAAATTTCTTCCTCATAGCTAGCCTAAATCTCCCCTCCTTCAGCTTAAGGCCATTCCCCCTTGTCCTGTCACTCCATGCCCTGTTAAACAGGCCCTCTCCAGCTTTCCTGTAGGCCCCTTTAGGGACTGGAAGGCTGCTCTAAAGTCTCAAGTTCCTGTGTATGATTCTTAAGGTAAAAACATAAGAAAAAGTCCAACTGTTCCAACAGGATTAAATTCTCAATCTGACAAAAAAATGGCACACACCAAATTGTATGGGAATTTTGGGAAGATACTTTCAGTATATAAACAAAGCAAAGAAAATGCAAAATTTCCATTTGATGTAATATCCTGGCAGAAGCAGAGGGTGTCCCCAGTTTGGCTACCCACATTTCCTAACCTTTTGGATAGAAATATTACAGAAATCTGTAAGTATTGCATCATGACCACTGCCACATCTCCGACGTCCAACAAGCAGGTCTGAATGATTCCACATCGGGTTCAGAGCATCCAATTATAATTCTGGGAATTCTCTTTGTTTAGCTTTTGGCTTGTTCTTTAGCTTTTTCCCAAAGCCCCAGAACTACAATTCTATTCATCTTTGAAGACTTGGCAGAAACTTAGCTCTTGCCAGGTGAACTTTAAACCAGCATCACCAATAATGTGTTTTTCCCCTTCTTTTTCCGTTTCTTTTTCCCTTTCTTTCACTTGGCCACCGCAAGCCAAACAAGTATAGTAAGTTTTACTTAAAGGGGAAATACTGGTGTTGGGTTTTTCCTGTCTGTCTGTCCATCTCTTGTGGGTGTTTATAAGGCCCTTTCAACAGTGGTATCTGAAATGAGTCAGATGGCACGAATGCCCGATCTGCTTGAGGCTGATAACGGAGTAAATAAGCCAGAGTATCCATTATATCTACAAGGCACCCTCTGCGAGAGGCTCAGCGTTCCCCACTCCGCCGTTACACCATTTTCTGCTGTGTTTTGTCTTCAAACATATTTAACTTCCTGGTTAGGGAGCGCTCAGCTACCAAGATTCAGGGTTTAAAAAAAAAGCTTACCTGGAAAATCAGTTCAACTGCAAGTGTGTCTCCGGGGCTTGGGGGGGGATGTTTTTAGGCTAAAGCAGGTGGCGTGGCTGGCTGTCCTTTACCTAGCGCAGACAGGGCTCGAGGACTGTTCTCCTGCTCCTCTTCAGGGGAATGTCTTTTCCCTCAACTTGCTTTCACCCGCCTCTGTCAGATTGCAAAAGCTGGAAAAAAAAAAAAAAACCCAAGCACAAAAAAAAAAAAAAAAAAAAGCAGAAGGGTGGAGCATGGTTGCTGTAGTGAGCGAGCAAAACCAACAGCGCTGACTCAACACACATGCGAAACCTGGTTGTTATTAGATCAGAGGCTGCTTCGCATTTTCGCATTTTCACTCATTTCATGCTTTCTGCAGGGGCTAGCTTGGGCTGTGACAAAAAGGGTATTTTTTTTTTTTTGTTTCAACAGCTGGCTGAATGCACTCAGGTAATATATATTTTATTTTTTTCCTAGTTATTAGGTTACTATTTGACTGGAAACACGGGGAAGAAATCTTGCATACATTCAATCCGAGAAGGTTTTTGCAGTGTTTCTGAAAAGCAGAGAGATTTCAGCACAGTAATTTGCACCTGCAACCCCCTCGCACTGCACGCGCAAGAACTTCAGCACTGCCTTTGCTTAATTTGCTCTCTATCATTTATGTGCACTTTTTTATTACAGAAAATGTCATAGAATGTAAGAAACACTGGGACAGCAGCGTGGCTTCTACAGCCTTTGCCCAGAAGTAGCACCTGAGGATGCCGTGGTGGTCAAGATGTTATTGGCAAAGCGATGACTATGGAGTGCTAACACACAGGGAGCTTCCTCCTGCGTGTTCCATACTGCTTTTGTATCTACAAATTTTGCTTGCATTTTGCCAAGCTAAGTCTTATTAATTCTCTCAGATATACAGCTGGATTCTTTCCTGTTAGTTCCCCAATAGTTCCAGTCCTTCACATTCAGTATCAACAGCAAGTTTCATTCAAATACTGATTTATTGGAATAATTAGCAGAGATAATGAATCAGTCCAAACAGAGATATCTGTGGTAACCCATTACACAGCTCCACTCCCGTATCAAAATTTGGCTCTTTATCATCCCATCGGTGGCCGGTGTTTGACCCCGCAAGTGAGAACCGATGGCCAAGCTGAGAGGCGCTGAAGGGGATGGATTAACTGCCCTCACCAGGCTCCTCTGGACAGATCCAGTTTGCTACAAAGAGAAGGTCCATATTCCTGGGTGGATCTTGCTGTGCGTGGAATAATCCCTTCTCTTCCCACAGACGAAGAGCCCCTCATTTTGACAAAGATAAGCCAAAAGCCGAGCAGGCAGACCTGCGGCCCTGGTGGGAGCTGTACCAAAAAGAAGCCCATGGACCCATCTCTGTGCAATGTCTAAGCAGACCCAGCTGTGCTCCAGAGTCATTTGGGACCACAGATGGTGCCAGAAGCATCTGCTTACTGTGCTCCCTTGAGCAAATGTGTGAAGCAGTTTAGGATCTGTTCCAGCTAATTTTGGGTTCCCGTTAAGACACGAGTGTTTTCTAACCAAGTAGGAGCAAAACCCATTTCTCCTGTATCTTTGGTACTCAGCTTTTCTCAGCTCCTCTCCTTATAATGTAGCTCTGATATTGAACGTTTTCTTCCTGTGTCTTTCAAATTCTCATCCCAACTCACTATCCCATGCTGTCATTCCTGCATCACTCTCCTTTTTCTTCCCATCCTGTGCATTTTGCTCCTCAAGCCATCAAAACGAAGAGCGCTCATCCTCCCCAGGTGTGCCCAAGGCCATCAGAGGGCAAAGCTCACTCCATGAGTGCTAAAGGTAAAAAAAGGCCCAGGAGCCTTGCCAGAGTCTGTTTGCATTTCAGCTGAAGGCCAGATCACTGGGGCTATTTTCAGGCTTGGTGGGGCAATAAACTGCAATCACGGCTGCTGGGTAATGCCCCGACGTGCTGCACATCCCTGCCTGAACCCATCCCCGAAAGCACCAAAGGGCAAAGCCCAGCCCAGGCAGGCTGGGTGGCGCGGACTGTGACTGCGGGATGAAAGTGCAAATGGGAATGGCCATGGAAAGGATCTTGCTTTCCACCTGGACACTGTAACTCAGTTTCCCAACCTTGGCAGGAGCTGAAGCTGGTTGAGCTTTTTCCAGAAGAACCTCAATGTAATTGCACTCGCTTTTCTTTATGTCTTAATTGAAACTGCTGACCGCATTTAATTTATTACTGAAATCCTTCTCTCATCCTAAGTCTTCTGTGAGGCTGCATCAAAAATCCCTCCCTCCACGCTTTAACAGAGCATTATAAGCTGCAATATTTGCTTGGGGAAATAAAAGCATAGGGTGCCCTGTTTGGGGTAATAGTCAAGTGTCTGCTCACTGTTAAACAGCTCCCCTTTATAATGACTTTGGTGATGGGCTGTATAACAAAGCAATCTGTAGTATATAATATTATATTATATTAATTACATTATATTACATTAACTAGATGTTTAATATACAAACTATGTGGTATTCTGCTTAACTGTCTGGTTTTTGTGGGGAGGAGAGATGAGAGACTTTCAAAGTAATAAAACAATTGAGGTGTTTTAAATGGAATCAGCATAAAATCTTAAATTCCTATACAAGGTCAGCTTCTCCCATCCTGCGGACCTCTGAGTCGCTGGAAAAGGAAACGCTGCACACGCTGAGCGGAGTGGCTGGCTCTAGCCCATCATTTCCAAGGGGAGTTTAATAGACATAGGCTGCTCTAGTACAAGAGTGGTAAATAACATTCACGGCCTATAAACATATTCATAATGGCAGAACTCTGTCATGCTTTATATTCATTGCCTTCCTTATCTAATTATAGATATATATCTTTCCAATTTGTGTCCACAGCATCCATCTCGTGCAGTTTTGGTGGTGTCCACACCACCGGTCGAAGGATGAGCACCAACTTTTGCCTGTGGGATTACAGAAGGGGGTAGCTGTACTGGACTTTGCTTGGCTTTTTCTCAGTGAGGAAGAGAGCAAATACCAATTTTAGTGTTTCCACTATCTGAGGCATCTTTCTGAGGGCTGGTGAGTGTCAAAAATTATCTCCTCCACTTATCTTTACCCTGCCAATATGAGGTTTTTCACACAAGCCAACACCAGGGTGTTAATGCAGACCGAGGCGACCACTTTGGTCTGTAGGGCCTTCCAGCCCTCAGAGTTTCAGCATAAATCTCTTCCATGTAAGTGGTGGTAATTCACTTAAATTCCATTACAAGGGGAACAATCGGCTTTTCTACATGAATGGCTTTAGCTCATAGAGGGTTTGAAGCAAAAAAAACATTTCAAGTAACTGCTTTGATGAAAAACATGCCCATACATCTGGCTGGTTTTTTCCCATGAATCGTGACAGCTGTGGTGGGATATGTCCGGCCAGGGTCCTCGTTGAAGCACAGCCACAGCATGGCAAGGACACCCTACAGCTGCTTCTGCCACCCCAGCACGAGGGTCCAGGGTGCACAGTAGAAAGGAGAAGTTGTCCTCCATTTCACAAGCAATACTCACACTCTCAACCTGCTCTTACTGTCTCTTATCTCACGGGCCACCTCTCTGAGAGATGCCAGCGGCATTGTCGAACTATGAAAACATGGAGAAGAAAGTCCCGCAGACTGCAAAGCAGGGAGTCGTGCCGGGTCCTCTGAACAGGCCGGACTGCCAGTGCCTGGGGGCTGGGTAGCTGGCGAGCGGCTGGGGAGGCTCCGAGCCACGGTAGCCATGGCTTTGCTGGCATCTGGAGACAAGGAGCGGTGGACAACACTGAAGAGGAGGATGAAGAAAAGGAGAGCAAGATGGTGTGTATGCACAAACACTGCTTGTCCTGGTAGCTGGAGAAGGGGCGGGAGGAGCAGCCGGGGAGCTTTCTGCCCCCGGTCCTTCATTGCCTGCCATGCCCAGCGCTGCTGCAGCCCGTGAACTCTTGACCAGACATTTTAGGTAACTCAGACTTTTGCAGCAGCTCTTCAGCCAGCTTTGCTCCATCCCCACTAGCTCCTTTGTGAGAGCGATGCGGTCCTACCTGGGCTCACACACTTTTCCTGTTGCCTACCTGGTGCGTCCACAATCCCCATGGCCACAGACGACTCTGGTTTCTCCTCCTGAAGGGTCTGGTTTGGGACAGGGCGGTCAGCAGTTAGCACCGGTACCCCAGGGCCTAGGGTGTGCACATACTGACCCTGGAAACAAAATAAATCCAAACTCACTCTGTTGCACTCAGACACCCTTTTCTCATGCAGCACTCGGGCATTCCGATAAGGGAGGTCAACTTGTACGGGTGGGCAAGGAGAGGGGTCCCCCATCACAGGTGGGGAAGGGATCTGGTGCAAAGGACCCTTCCCATGCTGTTGGGCGCAACGCATGTCTGCAGGCTCCAGCTGTGGTGTGCACTCCTTTCTTCTGCGTCCGATTTTTCCTCCTCCCCAGCTCCCACGGGCGCTACCCGAAATGCCTCTTACCAAACCCGAGGTAAGGCAGCACCAGCAGGGTCACACGTAAGTGCTTTCAAACAGGAAATATGGCCGAGAAGGAAGAGGATCAGAAACCAACTCTCCTCCCCGGGGCCCGGGGACAGAGCCAGCAGCTCCCTCCCCAGCCCGGGGCACCTCCAGCTGCAGCCACCCCCCCGAAGCCGTGGGGCTGCCCCCCATCAGGGCACCCTCCTGGCGAGAAGGAGGTGGCTGCGTGATTCATGCCCACCATGAATGTTAGCAAATGGCGGGTGGGGTTCCCCCCTTCCTGAAAGTTCAAACCACCACGTTACCATGCAGCGCCACTGCTTCCTGCAACGCTTGGCAGAGCGGGTCCGTTCCCCCCATGGGGCGCAGGGCTTTGACTCCTTCCCAAAATCATCGGGGAGGTAGGGATTGCCTCTTGGCAGTCACCCACAGACACCCAGCACTGCAGGGACCTGAGAGTTTACTTTTGCAGCTTAACTTTGGAAGAAGTGCACAAACTCCCTCCCTCCCTGCATCTGACCGTTGCACACTGCTGCAAAAATATTCCAGTACTCCCCAAATCAGTATGTAATGGGCACCCAGGGCACTTGTGCTGACCCAGGCCGTTAATCTTTCTCTCTTCATTTCAATGTCCTATCTAGAAATTGGATATACTCTGTTTTACTG